CATGAGAGGTATAGTACCTTTGGAGTTTGTTCCACCAGGTCAGACTGTTAATCAAGCTTTCTATTTCGAGGCTCTGAAAAGATTGTGTAACAGTGTGCAAGAAAAAAAGGCCTGATTTGTGGCAGATGGGGTATTGTTTTTGCCACCACGACAATGCACCTGCTCATACAACCATTTCAGTGTGGCAGGTTTTGCCCCCAAACTGCATGCCTTCTTGCCCCATGCGCCTTACTCACCTTACCTCACTGCATGTGATTTCTTTCTGTTTCCACGAATGAACAGGGACATGAAAGACAGTGGTTGTGTGAATTTGAAGAGGTAAAGAAAAATGAGGGAGATGCTGTCAGCCATCTAAATAGATGGGTTTGAAAAATATTTCCAAGAATGGGATCACAGATTTGACAAATGTATTAAGTGTAATGGAGTGTACTTTGAAGGTGATAAAGTTGTTCTGTAAATAAATAAATACATAGCTTTGAAAAAAATCTATTTGGGGCGGGGGGGATACCCCCTAGTACATACATATATATATATACTTCTCAAAATTCACTACTACTGAGTTGATTCTAACTCAGTACTCCCCAAAGAATGGGTTAGAACTGCCCATGTGCATTTCCAAGACTGAAACTCTTTAAATGAGTAGAAAGCCTCATTTTTCACCCATGAAACAACTGGTAGGTTCCAGCTACTGACCTTGCTGTTCGCGGCCCAATGCAAAACCACTACAGCACTAGGTATACACACATACTGCATCCATACATGCATACACTAAAGCATTCATAACTGTCTCTAAAATGGATTTTTTTTCTTTTCATCACCTCTTTACTGTAGGTAAAATAAAAGAACTGTAAATATCTAGTAAATATTTTGTTTTAGTTCATCAGTAGCTACAGATCAATATATGTCTCATACTATTAGAACTCTAGCCCAAAGCAGTGAGAATTGAGGAAAAGGAAAATAAGGTTTTTTTTAATGTACTGATAATATTTTTCCACGTTTGATTCAAAAATGACTTTTAATTGTTTAGTTTAATTTTAATGCAT